ATATATATATATATATATATATATATATATATATATAGTGCATAACGAATGTATACAGAGGTAACTGCAGTCTATGTGAGGTGAATATGACCTCATGCTGGATCTGAGGGCATCTCTGCACACAGTAACTCACTTGAGGAGAACCTTCCCAGAACTCCTGTGGCTTTCCTGCTGTTTTATGTTTTGGTTTGTCAAACGAAGCCAAAACTAGCACCGTCTGCCTTCACAGTTAGTCTTAAAAACAATGTCCAGTTACTGAAAAAAAGAGGAGGGAAAAAAAACTACATTCCTTTTTTATTAAAATGTCAATTTTTTTCAGGGGCAGACCTGCTTTTATTTTGACTCTTACAGCTCACAGAACTGAGATTTCATTCGGGTGGTCTAACCAAACTTCACTCCATTCTTTTTTTTCTTTCTGCATGATGTTTGTCTGCATGCACTGCCTACCTGTCTGTCCATCCTGGGTCACCTACCAGCATTGAAGGACATTAGTACTTTCACTGTATGCAAACTGTCAGATCTCTTTTACTTCATGTTCAGGTGGAGTTTGGGTACTTTTTACCTGTAGCATATGAAGTCATCACAGCTGGTGTTGTAAATCCAGTATCTAACATACACCTTAGATTTGATTGTAATCATGTAGGAGCTGTTTTAGTGGGGCGCTTTGTAAACCGCAGCAACATAACTTGTTTTGTTATTAAACTGGGTAAGACGTGACATTCAGATGACATTTTTATCCACGTTGGTGCACTTTGGTGATTATTAGATTCCTTGTCCCATTTGGACTTTTTAAAGGGCTCCATCTTTAAGCCCATTCCTTGTTACAGTCGTTCATTCCACTAAAACGTTTAATAGAAAAGCCAGTTTTCTGTATATAACCACTGTTCTTATAAAAAAAAAAGAAAAAAAGAGCTGTTCCAGGTTTACATATGTATAAAATGCATACTCTGTCTTTTTTTTTTTTTTATTGGATATTTTTTTGACTTGTTCTGTCATTGTTACAGAAACAGTACAACTTTTCTGGGAAAACCTTTACTCTAAAAAGTTGTCTTTGACATGTATAATATAAAAGTATTGTTTTTGAAAAAAAAAATGCATTCTGTTTTTTTATGAGTGAAAAAGTCTAAAAACCTGCACATCCTTATTCACATAAACATTGCTGTCATGAAATTGCCTGCTTTAGCATTTCTTAATTTTTACTACCTTTAAATGTTTTATGTATAAAATATCACCTTGGTAAATAGAGTGGTACACAAATTCTGATTTTCCTTTATAAAGTCAAACATCCCATTTGACAGCTGGTTTGATGTTCTTTTCCTGACGTGATGCAAGTTTTATACCTAATGAAATAGAATATAAATCTTCCAAAAATCTTTACTTTTTTCGTTTCAGTTCAGACAATATTTTCCCAAAAGTCTCTGGTGTGATGCGCCTTTGTGTTTATTTTTATCACCAGTAGTATTTACCTAGAGCTCTTTCAAGTCAACTATATCTACAGTAGAGGAAAACTCCATGTTGATGAATCATGAGCAGTGATTTAAATCAGACCAGTGTGGCCTCCTTTTATTTGGTTCATTCTGTTACCAACTGAAACGATCACTCATGTACTTTTAGAGTCGACCCCTCTTGCGACGACAACGTCGCTCTGTTCTGAAGAACCTGAAGACCAGAGAAGGGTTAGAATGAGAGGACATCTACAAAGACTCAGATCTCTGGAACAATTGTGGTTGGATGAGAAGTCTAGCACTTCATCATTTGGGCACTTTAAGATGTCCAACAACAAACCAAATACAGAATTTAAGGGAAAAAATTTTGTTCCAACAGTTCATCTTCATGCATGGGGGTGGAAATGTCATGGTTTTAGGATCCTTCTTCGCAGGTGAGAGCTTGTCCTCTTACCCATCCGCCAAAGAGTATCAGAGGGTTTATTGGAGAACTGAGATTATATATACAAAATAAAACTGCCCTGCAACAGAATAATCAACCACAAATATAACAGTAAAACCTTCACGGATTGGCTTGATATTAAAGAATAGAAAATTCTGGGCTAAGTGAAATTCCTGGTGTTGATCTCATTAAGATCTTTAGTGACTTGGAATAGGCTACACACACAAGAAACAACCTTACCTGCCTGATTTCAGCGGCTGGTAGATGACCGCCAGAAGCATTTCAAATAAATTATTTCAGCAAGTGGCAGCAAGACTTTCTATTAGGGGTTAGGGTGCCGTAACTTTTTCATAAGCACACTTTTTACTGGGGTATAAAAAAATTCGATTAGACATCATTATGTAAACATTTTCCAATACAAAACGAAATATTCTTATATATGGATATATATTGAGGGATATTTAAATAAATGTTCACATGACTTCCACTTGTTCTTAAGCTTGAAAGGTAATTTAGCTTCTGAGCTTAACACCACAGTTTCTTAACTCATTGTTATCAATGAGTTATCACCCACCCCCCCACCCCGCAAGACCTTTTAAACCCTTGTTTACATGTAAGGCAGTTCATTTTTCCAGGGGGAGGAATTATTGGCTACACAGTAGCTGTGAGCAGGATTATCCACCACATTTGGAGAGGTCAGGGGTCAGAGCTAGTGTCCAAATAAACAGCAGTGAATCCTGGTTGGTGGTGGAGCTGACGTTAAGACAACAGCCGAAATGCAAACAAAACCACTCCAACCCTCCCTCCCCTCTCAAGTAAACACATTCCTCTGCTTTCAGTCAAACGCTGAATTTAGTGCGTAACCATGTAAATAAGGCCACCGCTTGCTTTTTGGTTGCTTTGTCACAATCTCTGTAAATCATGAAGATTTGAGACACCACGCAGCGTCGAAGGCAAACGAGGAAGGGCAAGACTTGAGGTCTTTGGGTGAAGAAGGTTAAACTGAAACCCGAGAGACAATATTTACCATCCTGTGGAGTCTGCAACGCTTTGGGGACAGTAAACCTAGGTATGTGCTCTTTTATGGTTCCCCTGTGGCTGATGATCCTCCAACAATGAGGTGACACGCAGACTGCCAACCTCACCTTTAGTCCACTGTAACTCTGCTATGTGGCATCTAACCCCTCGTGTCTCCGGTCGGGCTCATTCAGAGAAGAGGCAGGGCCTAATAGTTGCAAATTCACCCCTACAAACTCCCAAGATGGCTGCCTCATTCCCCACAACAAAAACATATCTATTTTATCTCTGCTCTAATCGCAGTGACATTCTGGTCTGCGGTGGCTCTGCTCATCCTCCTGTAGCATCGGTCGTCGTCAGTTAGCTCTGTTATTATCCGGCCGCTCGAGTGGAGGCAAAAAGGCCTCGATTTCCCAGATGTGCTCATCACCACACGTCTTAATTGCAGGTTTGAATAAATCCCTAAAAGGCTTCTGGGGCTTTGGCCAGCTGCATGAATGACATGCCAAACTAATTATAGAAGAGTTATTAGGATTAAGTTTGAAACATCGACACTCAAGGATGTGAGCAGATTCCTGAAAAGTTTAAAGCACATAATCCACAAGCGATACGGCAGGATGGGTTGAAGAAGGGTTGAGTGAGAACTCCAGGATTTTAAATTTCAGTGCAATTTTAGACTTAAATAAAAGAAAGTTTTTATCTCTATGCTTTAAGTTGTCTTGTTTTGGTACTAAATCTGGCTCAGTGGAAATATGAGTAAGAAGTTCGGGAACTCTGCTGGTTTTTCCAGTGGGTCTCCAAGCTGTGCCTGCGGTCCATTTTGATCCATATTAGAACTAAGCTGTGCTGAATTTGCTCATCTTGCTGCTGTGGGTGTTTAGTCTGCAGTCAAAAAGGGACACAGAGTCCAAGGAGCCGCTGCAAACACACAACATAAGGTAAGGTTGAGGGTCAACTGAACCATGGAGAGCACAGCAGCATGGAAAGGTTAGACGATGGCCAGTGGAACATGCTGAGTGTTGTGATTTAACCCATCTCATAACTAATGTTTACACTGCTGTAGACCTTTATATTCTGCATCCACTTCCACGGTTCCTTTTCTTTTTAGAAGGGGTCTTGATTGATGGTTCTTTGGACTTTCTGAAAACGCTGGCTGCTTTCTTGCTCAATTTTAGTCCAGTGCTACACTGGTTTCATGAGGTTTGTCTGATTAAAACTATCTCTTAGAAACAGAGTCAAATGATAAAAGGCAAGTTAGTTTGTATAACACAATTAACTACTACGACAATTCCAGTTCTTTACATGGATTAGATGGTGAAGAAGAAAAGTAGAGCAGAGTGAAGGCAAATAAAGATAAAAAAAAACCTAAGTAAAACATTTGGACCACAACCTTAAACTTATATAATATATTATATAACTAAATGCTATATGGTGCTTCTCCAAAAAGGGTTGAAACTGTTCCTTGCCTCCCTACCATAGGATGGACTGGTTAGATCATGTTTATTGATTTGGATATCCCAGTCAAAGTCCTGATTTAAATGAGATGCATTTTTATCCAAACTTTATTGATTTTTTAAAAGAAGAATCAGCAAAAAAAAAAATCCTCTGAACTCTAAATGCTCAGAGCTAGTTAACCCATGAACACCAAAGAATTGAAAAGTGTGGCAGACATTTGGTGTCTGCCACACTTTTTAGAGTTTAGATTTTATATATATATATATATATATATAT